AGAGTGCAGTGAGAGTACAAAAATGTGCCTACTCTCTAGCACTTAAATAGGAATGTGTGCCACACACACAAAAGGGGTGCTATGGAAAGTAACCTCACAGAGTGTTCAGATCTAAGTTCCTAACTGGGTAGGTCGTGGTGGGTGGTCCTGACCCAGGCATATGACTTTGTTAGTAAAGTATCTTTCCCATAAGCAAGTCTTATCCCTTGTTCTTATGCATCTAGGTTAACATACCTTTGAAATAAATCTTAACCACCTTCAAGAAAGCACATAATCTTGTTAACTATCCTGTAATCCAATCCCCACCTTGCTTTTTGTCTTCCTTTCAAATGCATAATGGAAGCTGCACAACTGTTATTCTGTGGGGCATTTGAGATCTTGCTCCCCGACATAGGTCATCAGTTTGGCTCAAGCAAACTTATAAAAATTCTCTACAGGTTCGGACATTTCTTAGGTCGACAGCCATATTTTACTTTTTGTGTACAAGAAAGAAACATTACTTCCAATGAAGGCACTTAGAAAAGGCATTAGGAAGGAGCTAGTTTTGACTCCTGTGTAGTAGGAAGAGAACTGGTCTACAAATTGGGAGAACTAGGGTGAATACAGGTTCTGGTACTTTAGTGATTTTTCTCAGGCTTTACTTTCTTCACTGGAAAACAATTGCCTCCTAACCTAAAAACAACATCCAAGCAACCTACTTAGATACCAAGCTCTAGAGAAAACTGATAAAGTTTCACTAACTGAGGGCAAATGCTAATAGATCTCAAATAGTACCAAAGAACACTAACTGGAATACTTTACACACAATGCCTCTTTGGAGGAACAAACAAATCAAGTGTGTCTACAACAGCCTTTGGGTGTGACCAGATGGGTTAATTTTAAAGAAGTTCCAAAACGCAATACTGTAAAACCAAGTAAGTAATTTTAAGGACCCAGTCACAAATTACCATTACTACAATAAGGCCCTCGCAGCCCCGTTTTCACGTGATTTCTCCGGTGTTGACAGTCGCGGGGGCTGTTGACGTCTCAGGACTACTGCTTTGTGTCGTTCCTGCGAACCGCCTCTCAGAAGGGGCCCCCTAGCCTCCCAAACGGAGAAGCGGACCCACTCCCTCACCAGCCCTGCCCTGCCCGGTTCTCCCAGCCACCGCTCCCGGAAGTGCCATGAGCGTCGCTGCCTGGAGTGGGTGGAGCCAAGCATCGCTTCCGGAAGTGCCGTGAGGGTCGCTGTCTGAAGTGGGTGGAGCCAAGCATCGCTCCCGGAAGCTCGCTGGCCGGCTGGGCGGGGCTGCGGCTGCCACGTTGAAGCGGAACGTGGAGGTGGCCCTGGGCCGGGAGGAGGGGCGGCGGCGAATGCTGGAAGAGTCTGACGGGCGCCGAGCTAACGCAGGAACCGGTAGCCTGGGGTCCTCGCCAGGTGTGTCCACTCTGTTCCTTCCTATCCTCTTCGCCAGCCCTTAGGCCTTGAGGTAGAGTACGGGCCAAAGTTCTCCCGGCCTCGGTCTCCGCTCGTCTCCACCGGCCTGCGGCCGGGTCTCCGGTGGCGGCGCGCCCCTGTCTTGGTTTCGGGCCCGGCGGGACAACGCCTGGCGTCACGGCTGCTTTGGGTATCGCGCCGGTTCAAATCCGCCGTCGTTTCCACGGCTGAACAGGAGTTCCCCTGAGGCTTGCGACAGGGTGTCCTGCTTGGGCCGGTAACCGGGGTCTGGGGTTAGGAGACCTTCACAGCCTTCCTTGTGCACAAAGAGGTGCGGTCTCCAAGGGCGAGGGAAGGAAACAAACCTCAGGATTACTTTGGTTGACTTTAGTTTGGTTAGGAGTTTTTGCTTGTATTTTAACTATTGCCAGGTTGAAAGGTTCCTAGATTTTAACTAAAGGCTACTGTCATTTAACCAGAATTAGATTATTTTAAAGGCAGTGATCGCCAGTTGCAGCCTATACCTAGAAAGAAGTCTCATTAATTGTTGTGTGTTTTTGCTAATAAATTAC